CCAGCCAGATGCAGGTGCACACAGCACAAACCACGTCAGCGTGATCAAACCCAAGTTCACTCTTTCTGTGGTGCTGTCAGACACAGGCAAACTTCTAGTCTATTTAGAAAGGTGTGCTTTTTGGTTCTCATACATTGATTGTCTTAGGCAACAGACTAACTGTCTTAGTCTCAATAAAGTTTCAAGTATTTTTCATACAGCATGATATTAATTTACTATCCGAGGTCCTATTTATTTACAGTGAAATAGATGATAAATCAGGACAAGCTTGAGGCGACCATCTGATTAACTTGTCGCTTGTGTTGTGTGTTGTCTGAGTTTTTGTCCTTACATTTGAACTCTTCACATAAGTTCAATTGAACAATTTGGTCGCCCCAATTTTTTTTATAGTTCAGCGTTTGGTTGAACTGAGCTCAACCCTCTCTCTTTTGTTGTGGTACAGTGTAGATATGGCGATGGAAATCTTAAGTCCCTTGCTCTTCCAACAATGGAACATAAATATATATAAGACATAAAATAATAAAACTAATCCAACAAATAATTACCAGGACTGGGGAAAAGTGGTAGTGCAGCAATAACAGTCAGGGTAACTTTAAAAAGGGTTTTATTTACCCAAACTCAAAGTGCTCAACAAACAGCAAGACTACCTCAGCCAGAACTCTAGCCGACTAACCTGTTGAGGATTTAACCAGAGGACAGAGGACACTTGGAGTCTCCTGCTCTCACAGTTTTGCCCACAATCTGAGTTTATCAGTTGTCCTTTTTTACCCTGTTCTGGAAATCAGCCAGGTGGTCACCTTTAAGGTCAGGTTGTGTGTTGGTTGCCCTCATAGAAGTGGAAGGGATTCTTAAGTCTAAGCACTGTGCCTTATGTTTCTCAAGCTCGTGGTGTGGCTGGATGCCTGTTTTCCTTGTAGATGTTTATTGTTAAAGGAATATTCTGAGGAGACTTAATTGGTGTAATAAGAAGGAGAAGCAGAAGAAAAAGAAGATGAGTGTATGTTCTTTTGTGTTTTAAGCAAAGACTTACACCAGGTGTGTGAAACAAATCAAAACATATTTTTTAATAACAAATGTATTAAGATGGATAGAAATCAGATCATTACAGTTTTTTTTACTTATACATGACATACAATTTACAGATAGTACCTTAATGAATTTAATACACATTATGACGACAAAGGGAAATGTCTTTTAATTTGTGTATTCAATGTAAAAACAACTTTATCACACATCATTGTAAAGGCAGTGGATGAGGAAACATTCGTTGTTTATTCAAATTATTCAGTGAGATGTTGTATGATTCAGCGAGCCTTGGCATAAACCTTGAAGGGATGTGGCACTCGAGTTACTCCAGTAACTCCTTCTGTACTCAACTCTACACCATCAGGAACAGAGAAGGAGAACTTCTGCATTAAACCAACGAAAAACAGGAACAGCTCCATCTTGGCGAGGCCTTCTCCGAGACACACACGTTTTCCTGAAGAGTGCACAAACGTATACTCACATGAAAGTGTAAGATCTAAGGATAAAACTTATGTTCTAGTTCATGTTATGATTCAGGTGAATGTTGTTTACCTGCAGAGAAAGCCAAGAGAGCTTCTCTCTTCACAAACTGTCCCTCAGCATCCAGGAAGTGTCCAGGGTTGAAGGTATCTGGGGTCTCCCATTCAGTCTTGTCGAACAGCACAGAGGTCAGGATTGGCATCAAGGTCGTACCCTAAAAAACAAGATTCATAACCAACCATTGACAACAACACCCACATTTTAGATACAATCATTTTCAGACTAAATATGATTGTGGGCTACACAAACCTTGGGAATGAAGTAATCACCCAGTGTTGTATCCTTAGCAGCCATTCTGAGTCCATTTAAAGGAACAATGTTTCCCATCCTCATGATCTCGTGGATGACGGCTTCAGTGTAGGGCAGGTTGGGTCTGTCTGCCATACTGGGCTGTCTGTTGTGTCCGATCACTCTGTCTATCTCTGCCTTCACTTTCTCTATAAGTAAAAAGAAATGTCAAGTTATGTTGTTTTCTTGCTGTGTTTACAGTTAGCTCAGTGTGGTGCTAGCATGTCACCTACCCTGGATATCAGGGTATTTGATGAGATAAACCAAAGCCCACTGTAACGTGGTGGAGGTGGTCTCTGTACCAGCCAGGAAGAGATCCAGAGAGCACAAAGCCAGATTAGTCTCTGTGAAGCCAAGATCTGAATCCTTGTTCTATTCAGAGATGCAAAGAAGATACTGTAGTGAGTGGATGCTAAATATACATGAAGGGCTCCAAAGTGTTTTAAAGTGCAGTCGTTAACTTACTTTTTCCATTTCAATAAGGAAAGTGTCAATATAGTCCCGGGGGTCACTGCGGTCCAGGTCCTTCTTGTGGTTCTTTACCTCCAGACTGAGGAAGTCTCGGATGGCGTCAAAATTACTGAACATTTTGTTGTGAGGACCTGGCAAGTGCTTCATCAATGTGGGGAACGACTCATACAGCTACAGTATTAGAAACAAATTGTAAATTAGATACACCCACATAATATCTACCCTTACTGTATGTGATCATATTTGGGTACAGACATGGGCTGCTCAGACGGTTAACAAGGATTGACTTCAAGAATCCTTAAAAAAAAGAAATGATCTGACAGTGATTAAACGACATTAAAATGACTGACTTACCGTACCCCATACAGAGCCCTCCAGCATTAGAATTTCAGACAAATAATTCAGCATAATCTGGAAGTTGTGGTCGCTGTAGTCAAAGCGTTTACCCATCACCAGCTGGCAAATGATGTTGGACACAGCGTTGTTGAAGAGGCCTGCTGGGCTGAAAGGTTGACCTGTAGGAGAGGAGTCCACTGTTTAGACAACGCTATACTCCGAATAATGAGCTGAATCTGTACTCTTTGTGTACACCTTTCTCCTTCTCTATCTCCTCCTGCAGGTGTCGGATCTCCTCACAGATACTCTGCTCCA